TGAACTCAAAGGGCGGATGCCAGACCTGGTTGAGCCACCTGGCAACCTCCCATGGCGTTGACGTACCAGACTTAAAGGACGTAATCACATGGGAGGAACTAACACGGCTGTGGAAGAAGCGGTTCATCGTCGACGACGCGCCGGCACTCGCCATCAACCGTTTGCTCACCATGTCACAGGGCAACACAGCAACACGGGACTGGCTCACGGAGTGGCAGAAGATTGCGGCTGTGCCCAATCTGAACCTACCGTTCGAGCATCTACGCCGTGAGTTCTACAACAGGTCATGTGCGGCATTGAGCCAGGCTCTTGGTGATCGCGCGTAGTACTCAACCTTCGCGGAGATCATTGACAAAGCGAGGGAGATCATCAAGACCAACAGGTCAGCTGCACACGAGAAATCAACATGGCAGCCGACCTATGTGGAGAAGGCACGAACTGGTCCGCGACAGCAACACTTCGCTGCAGTCCAGCAGGACAGTGGAGATAACCCAGCAGCCACTCCAGCATCAAGTGACGGAGATCAGGTGGCCGCTGTCCAGCCGCGAAGCACCAACAAGTCCCGTAACAATGGGAAGGCGAAACCTGCATCGCAGGCCGGAAAAGGACAGCCAGGACAGTTTCCATGGGTCAAGTTTGGCTTGACCGAGGCGGAGTACAAAGTCCGCGGCCTCTACGACAACTGCTATTGGTGCAACAACACCAAGCACAAGACCTCCCTGTGCCAAGATCAGGGCAAGGAGGATGTGCGACCCCGCCTCAGCTCGGGAAACTGAGCTCCGCGGAAGGTGAGGCGACTCCACCTTCTACTCCACCAGATTCGGCCGCCTTGCTAGCGGCCTCCTGCACATCTGGAGAGGATGCGAATGTCGCAAGTCCTCGGTATACTTACGAGGATTATGCTGTCCACTTGGTTCCACCGCTGGACCAACCGCTCCACATGCAACAGTCCACCGCATGCACGGTTTCATCACCATCGGCAACCGATTCGGCAGCTTCGCCGCAATCTATCGCCGGGAATTCGACGTCATGGTTAAGACTTGATGAGCTCTATTCGTTGACGTTCACGGACTTCCAGTGGATGCCTGTTCCCTCGACCGGACGATTGCCGAAACCGCATTGCAATGTGCTTATGGCACAATTGCGAGACTACTTGCACACTGCAGTACCAGCTCCGTTGATGGACAACGGAGCAGAGGTTGTCGACCTTCACGCTTTCATCGCGAAGATCGACCGCGAGTTCAAGACGCAACGGTACGACGACATCGATGCACCATTGCTATACATACGCATTCAGATCGGAGAGGCGACCTGCAGTGCCTTGATCGATTGCGGAGCATCTCGCAACTACATCAGCCAGGACTTCATGGTACGCGCCGGCCTTGGCCCACGTGTCCGGAGGAAGTCCCAGCCTAYKCAAGTCACCCTGGCAGACGGTCATACGCACAAGTCCATCGACCGGTGCATTGACGCCGTCCCAGTGTACTTTGCCCCTCACGCAAGTGAGGCGGTTTCCTTTGACATTTTGGACACCAAATTTGACATGATCTTGGGCGCGAAGCAAGGATCACCCGATGAACTTCTTCAACCGCACCGTTCACGTTCGTGACCGGAACGGAGTATTAGTTCCATGCACGGTGCCTCTTCCTCATCCTTCGATCAGCTGCCACGTGGTATCCGCCGCAAGCATGCGAGCTTCCATCATCAGAGACGACATCGAGGAGATGGGGGTGTGTTTTCTCCACGCCCTCCCGCCACATGACGCTTCATCAACGGACTCACCTTCGGATCCACGCATCATCGAACTTCTCGACGCCTACAACGACGTGTTCGAAGACCCGCATGGAGTAGTACCGGATCGACCCATCCGCCACGAGATCATCCTCGAGGACGGGGCCGTACCTCCGCGCGGTTGCATCTACCGAATGAGCGAGGAAGAGTTAAGTGTGCTTCGGGCACAACTCGACGACCTTCTAGAGAAAGGCTGGATTCGGCCTAGCTCATCGCCATACGGTGCTCCTGTTCTCTTCGTCCGGAAGAAGAACAAGGACCTGCGGTTGTGCATCGATTATCGCAAGCTCAACGCGCAGACGATCAGGAACGCCGGCCCTCTCCTACGCATGGACGACCTTCTCGAGCGATTGGGCGGCGCCCAGTTCTTCTCTAAGTTGGATCGCAAGTCAGGGTACCACCAACTCGAGATTCGCAAGGAGGATCGCTACAAGACCGCGTTCAAGACTCGGTATGGGCATTTCGAATGGCTGGTCATGCCATTTGGCCTTACGAATGCCCCAGCCACTTTCCAAGCGGCTATGACGACGGAGTTTCGACACATGCTGGATCGTTTCGTACTTATATACCTCGACGACATTCTGGTTTACAGCCGGAGTCTGGACGAGCATGTGGAACACCTGCGCACCGTTTTGGAGTGGTTACGACAGGCCAAGTACAAAGCAAACCGCGACAAGTGCGAGTTCGCACAGCAGGAGCTGGAGTACTTGGGACACTATGTGACGCCGCAAGGCATCCGTCCGCTTGCGGACAAGATCGAGGCCCTACGAGTATGGCCTGAGCCCACCAACACCACGGACGTTCGTTCATTCATGGGATTGGCGGGCTACTATCAGCGATTCGTCACCGGATACTCCAGGATTGCTGCACCTATGACGAGGTTACAGTCGCCAAAGGTGCCATTCGT